CTGCTGAACGCAGTCAAGTCCCTAAAGTGAATACTACGTTGATTCTCCAGGAAATTAAGAACAATTCACTAAATGCTTTGTAACAGGTAAAAAGAACGTGTGCTCTTCAAATGCCAAAGCAATCCATCCCTTGCACCCACGGTACACAAGCACCAGAACCAACATATCTTTAGCACAGTTTTGCTATTTAATGTAACATATAAACAGTTAAGGGAGGAAGAGATTAGTATTTTTCCTGACTTCTTCCCCCAACTGGTTTGGGATCTCAATCTACCACATGCTACTCCTTTCTCCAAAAAAGGGCTCCCAATGTTGATAGCATCTGGCGCCACTAGAAAAAGTACACGGGACCTCAGCCTGCTCAAGAGACTTCTAAATACATGTGAAAGAACAACTTAAAAGAGAAGTTCTAGGGATATTAGAAAAAAGGAGACTAATCAAAAAAAAGAGAAATCATAACAAAGCAGGAAATCAGAAGTTCAGAAACACCAAAATCGAAGTCTTAGAGAAGATGAAACAGAGGCTTTCACTGAAGTGGCACCTGGTGACCATTTCTGCAGAAGTGATGGGCCATTTTAAGATTTTCTGTAGGCTTCAAACTGTCACCATCCACACCTCTAGCCAGAGTAAGAGATTAACTGCACACCTTAACTGGACACCACTTAACTCACAGTTTCACATGCAAGCAGATGCTAAGTGTGATTTACCCATTTCTGGTGATTTCCATTTGCCTTCCATAGTCCTCATGGTGGTGTCCAGTTCCGCCTCCATCTCCTTTTGGAACTCATCGTCACTGGAAGACTCGCTCTCCCCAGTCAGGCACTCCCGGATCAGCTTCCGCTTCTGGTCAGGAGTGCCATGTAAGAGCACGTCCACCTCATCTTCTGAGCTACAAACATCGAAGCGTTACACACCTAATTGTGGTAAACAGCTTAAAACACTGACCGACTCACGTGGAGAACAAGTATCTGAACTGTGTGGATGCAGCGGGAAGCACTTATTCGTGTCTTTACGGGAAATGCATTTATTTAAGTATTTTATTAGCTCGTTGGTTTTAAAACTCTGGTTTTAACGCAAAAGAGCTTCAGCTGACGGGCCGTGGCCTGCCGCGAGGCCCCGTGCCGGGGATCCGTTTACCCCCCGGCATTTGCAGGGTTAGAAATGTAAATGCCTCGGTTCCGAGGAGGAAAATC